TATCATCATTGAGTACTGAGTGGGGGTGGGGGGGCAGTATCCAAGGTATTTATAAGGGTCCGCATAGAGCTCAAACAACGAACGTCAAGCCACTCAAAGCAGGTCTGGATGACAGAACGCTCGGCGAAATTCAGATGGCATCCCCACATCCCCCTCCAAAAGTGCTCGGATGTCGTTCCTTCTTCTTTTTCTTTTTCTTGGCGTCCGCGAGGACGGCTTCCTTCATCTCTCTGCCCAACAGCTCCATGGGTAGCAGGTCCGCATGGCTTGCCTGTCAAGGGTTCAGCTTCTGGCTACAGTACAACTGAAACCATGCTGAAAGCAAGAACACTGTGTGCATCATATGTGCAGCCAAGGTAGACATGTTACCAAACCTCACAACCATCCTCCACCAGCATCATCAAGAAGTCATCGAAGCTCTTTACCCCAGCCCCATGAGCTCGCGGCATGCAGGCTGGAGGGTGGTGCCCCGAACCTCTCAAGAATATTGAAACCATCTGGGGCTGTGAAAGCCTCAGACGACATCAGATACCATAAGATCTTATGCTGAAAGACCATTTGTCCTACAATCTCTGTGTAGAGCTTCCGTGCCGAGGCTTCAATGGGCTACTCGCCGCCAAGTGAGCAGTTCAAGCTATGGGGCGCGCCCGTGCCAGGTCTGACAAAGTTTAAGGCAAGGCTTAGGGCTTCACATCGTCAAGACGCCGGGGAGGTAATTATCCCTGTGAGTCGGACAAACCATGCAGGCTGAACTGCATCAAGACAACAGCTGGCCCTGTCCGGCTAAGTCCTCGGCGGCAAGTCGAACAATCCTTCGTGACCAGGTGGTGGCGGCGGTGGTGGCGGTGGTACCCGCGCCTGACCGCTGCGGATGGCTCCTACTTTCCATACGGATGCCTCGGTACAGCTGGATGATGCGGTGCATGCATTGCAGACAGAAGTGGCAAGCACAGGTGTAACTATTTCGCATGACTGCGGGCACGGGCTGGGGAAGACAAGGCCTGCATGAAGGAAGGGGCCATGCCCGTGTTGGAAGCCATGGGGCTGAAGATTGGCCGGATCACTTCGCCTGGCTCAGCGCAATTAGCTAGTAACCGGCAGCATAATAATCAGTAGCAGTGGTTTGGGTTTAGGATTTAGGGTTGCAAGAAGAAAAATACTCGGGCGTCTGGTTCCTGATCATGCAACGTGAAAATCATGGCAAGCTTCTTGGAGCAAGGGTACTTGTCAGTGCCAATCAACCTTCTGGAATTCAATCATCGCCGTCTCTTTCGCCGCGAGCCAGGCAAGCCGCAGCTCTACATGCCCGAACAAGCGTGCTCAACAAAGAGACAAGAAGCCGCCAAGGGATTCGAAGGACTGCTCTCAGCAACGGCAGGAAGAGACGCAGTATGAACTCTTGAACAACAGCTTTTCCAGGCTGTCCATGATACGGAATGCCCTTCGCAAGGGCTGCGGAATCCTTAAGCCTGCAAACGAGAGCACAAACCCACATAATGTTACCACAACTCCCATAAGCCCTGTTTGCATCCGAGCTTGAAAGTCGGCCGGGAGATCTTGGCTTCACAAACTTCATAAATGCTACAAAGTCAACTCTCTACCCGGCCCATAAACTCCAAAACCTTTCCTGGCAAACAAAATTCTGAAACGCAAGCCGGTAGAGACTGCTGTTAAATAAGCCGTCCTCTCTCCATCCCCTAGACAAGGTGCTGTCACCGCGGAAGGGCCCCTCCCCTGACGGAGAAGCCGGGGTTGGGCTGGCACCCCAACCGGCCTCTTCAGGAGTGCAACAAAACTTCAAAGTTTCATTCTGTGTGACTAGGGCTTATTCAGGATTTCGATGCACCAACGACTTGTATCAAAGCATAGTCACCGGATAGGCCAAGAAGAGTAGAGTTAGGGGCTTGCATGAGTGAGTGGGTCCTCAAGGGATCAGAGGGCAATGTTTCGGTGGTGCCGGCTTTCATGGCTTTCAAGAGGGTCTGCATCCTTGTCAAGGCTTCAGACTGCATGACAGACCGACTATTAGCTCAGCAGGCTTTCCTATCGATCCTAGCACGAGTTGATGCCCTGCTCTAGACTCTAGCTCTGACCTGCAGGATATGTTAAAACTCGGTTAAGCAAAGAGCGGTCTGAATGAGATTTAGGATTTACGGCTTTAGGGCGTCAAGTTTCCGAACCCACTCGTGCTCATAACCATGGTTTCGGGGCTAAGCCCTAAGCCCAAGAGGCCCTGTGATCATGACAGCTTGACATTCAACACTACGGCTGCTCATGTGCACTGCAGCTAAACAAAAAGTCAAGCGACGTATCCGGATCGGCCCCACCATGGTGTAGCCTGGCCAGCGGTAAAGTGTCAACAATGACACCACCACCACCACCACCACCACCACCACCACCACCACCACCACCACCACCACCACCACCACCACCACCTTCAATAACAACAACAACAACAGCAGCAGCAGCAGCAGCAGCAACGACAGCAACAGCAACAGCAACAGCAACAGCAACAGCAACAGCAGCAGCAGCAGCAGCAGCAGCAGCAGCAGCAGCAGCAGCGACAACGACCACGACCACGACCACGACCAAACAACAACAACAACAACAACAACAACAACAACAACAACAACCACAACCACAACCACAACGACAACAACAACAACAACGACAACAACAACAACAACAACAACAACAACGACAACAACAACAACAACAACAGCAGCGACAGCGACAGCGACAGCGACAGCGACAGCGACAGCGACAGCGACAGCGACAGCGAC